AAGGTCCGGACCTCTGGGGTTAGCTGATTCCACAGGGTCGTAGCAGCCAGAGAGAAGGCTCTCCTCCAGGGGCCCGCCAGCTGACACTGTCCAGCTGACGGTATCCGAGGGAGGCCCACCCTGTGGGATCTTATCGGCCATCTGGAGGTGTATGGCAGTAGGCGGTCTCGCAGATAGGCTGGTCCTAAGCCATGTAGGGCTTTAAAGGTAATAACCAACACCTTGAATTGCGTCCGGAGACCAATTGGCAGCTAGTGCAGCTCGCGGAGGACAGGTGTAATATGGGTGTATCTCGGTACACCCAATATCGCTCATGCGGCTGCATTCTGGACCAGCTGTAGTCTCCGAACGCTTTTCAAGGGTAGCTTCCCCAAACTGGCAGTATAACTCCAGATATACCAGAGGAACAATTTCAAAAGTTCTCCCTTTTCATGGTCAAAGGTCTGGAATTCTTGGAAGTCCAGGTCCAACATCTCTGAAGGGCATCGAGCTAGGGAAGGCTCCTTCACAACACATCTTCTTGACAACACAAGCTCTTTTAGGTTCCATATGTTGGACCTGGAGTTCCAAAAATTTGTAACTGATAATTCTTGGAGGTCCAGGTCCAACACATCTAAAGGGCACTGTTAGGGAAGACTGCTTCATGGCACATCTTCTTGATGATACATACCCTTTTCGGTTCCACAGTGTGGGAGAAATATATTGTCGGCACAGCATTCTCACTAATGGCGAAATCATCTTCATCGTCGCTGCCGTAATGATTGGGGCCATTAGCTTGACTTCCGAATGATTCAAAGTTGGTTACGTCCTTCTGAAAGTTGCCCTGAGTGTTAGGTTTTTCTTCCTTCTGAAGAACATCTGGGTTTAACTTTCTGTCTTCTCTATCTTCTTCAGAGGAAGAGGCACCTTCTGCCTTTACATTGTTAGTCTCGGAAATCCTGGAGAAAGGATGAGCAGGGAGGGAAAAAAATAAATGAAAGATTGATTTTAAGTCCTAAGATAAAATAGGTGATGATCTGTATGGCTTGCTCTGTTTTTAGGCTGTGGTGTTTTTTTTGTCAAATAATAATTAAATCAGACTAATGATTTTAAATTCTTTAGGATCCTCTAGCACCATAAGAAAGGTCCTATATTGCTAAATCAGACCAGCATACAATCATTTCCTTCAATGGGAAGATTGGATCTTTCAAAAAACCCTTCTCCTACTGCCATTCATTAGAAGCTGAGATGGTCAATGCCTTCTAAATTGGCAGGTTACTTATAAACATCATAACCAACCATCGCTGCCTTCGTTCTTTTTCCCAAGACAGTCATTCGTGAAATATTTTGAGTGAACTGACCTGTCATAGCAGTTTCCCCACATTTCTAAGATAACCATGTTCCTCCCTTTGCAGAACTACAAATCCCAAAGTTCCCTAGGAAGAATGAAGTCGAGAATAATGTGCTTTGTGTTGATTGTGCCACTCCTTGATACAAGGTTGAAATTGCCCTAACAAGTAGTGAGGAGAATGCGTATTTACCCATGTAGTATGGCTGCAGTATTATTATTTATCCTTATTATCTTCTTTACTCTCCCCTCCCCACTTATTGGTATGATGATGATGATTATTGTTATATTGTTGCTTTTGATATATACTGAGAGCTTCTGCACCAGAGACAAATTCCTTGTGTGTCTAATCACACATGGTCAAATTAAGTATTCTATTCTATTCTATTCTATTCCATTCCATCCCATTCTATTTTCTATTCTATTCTCTCCTCTCCTCTTCTTTCCTACTCCTTATTCTACTATACTATTTCCTGTTCCTTATTCTATTCCTTATTGTATTCCTTATTCTATTCTATTCTACTCTATTTTGCTCTACTCCACTCCACTTTCTATTCTATTCTATTCCATTCCATTCCTTTCCATTCCATTCCATTCCTTTCCATTCCACTCCATCTCATCCCATCCCATCCCATTTTTTATTCTATTCTCTCCTCTCCTATTCTTTCCTACTCCTTATTTTACTATACTATTTCCTGTTCCTTATTGTATTCCTTATTGTATTCCTTATTCTATTCTATTCTACTCTATTTTGCTCTACTCCACTCCACTCCACTCCACTTTCTATTCTATTCTATTCTATTCCATTCCATTCCTTTCCATTCCACTCCACTCCATCTCATCCCATCCCATCCCATTTTCTATTCTATTCTCTCCTCTCCTATTCTTTCCTACTCCTTATTCTACTCTACTATTTCCTGTTCCTTATTCTATTCCTTATTCTATTCTATTCTATTCTATTCTATTCTATTCTACTCTACTCTATTTTGCTTTACTCTATGCCACGCCATGCAAGTTAAAGCACATTATTCCTTCCTCCATTCTTATTAGGATCTAAGGGTTCCCACCTGCTTTAGTGCAAAGAGGAAACCCATCCACAGCTTAGCTTCTCTTCTAAATAGTCTCCCTTCTTCTGGAAACGCCAACAG